AGCTGAAGAGACACAACTCCCCTGACCCTTTTGCCATACCAATCTCAATAAACCACACGCGTCTTTCCGAACTTTATCATCTATTTTCTTGTGTCTCTTGGTAACCAGTAATCAACACAGAATCAACCGAAACAGTGAACCCTTAACAGGTGTACTAGAGAGAAGAAGTTCCTTGGAGTGAGTTCTACCTTGCGTAATCGTTTTAAGAAAACAGCAGCGTTTTGAGCGCTGCGAGCGCACGCCAGGGTTCGGAGCGTTTCGAAAACTACACTTTCCCGGTCGCTCAAAACGCAAAACTCAGCCGCACGCTCAAACCGCTTACGCGAAGTATGAACGTATGAATCTAACCGGGAGACATATTTCTCCAATTCCAAGGAAGCACTTATTATTAGTTTGACAAAGCCTAACCTAATGGTGTCGCAACTCCAGAAACTCATGTACTGCGGAGTATTGAAACCTGCAACAAGAACTGACCTGAATATTAAAGTCCTTAGGCGAGTTATATCCTCGCACTGGAGAAAACGGCTCATCTAAAATATACAGTACTTCTTTCACTGATCATCACCAAATGAAAAGCAATGTCTATCACAAGAATGTTGAGTTGTGAGCAAAAGTTTGACCGCTTGCGCGACTCGAACAGGGACTTTTCCTAGCGAGCGCGCTATCCGCTAAACCACCAGGACCGCTTCCACCTTCTCAAATTGACTATGAGGTCTTTAGCGCTTTTACATGATGTCTTTCAACAACCGTCAAATGTACTTCAACGTGCTCGTTTCAATGACAATTGATGATTATTGGTCGTAATCAGTCCCTGATGAATAGCGATATTTCACCTATTTCCTGAAGTGATCTTCCATTTACGTTCTCTTCCTCCGCAACAATTTATGCTAGGTCCAAATGGAAGAGGCAAATCCATTTCACAAGTGGACGAGTGTGCGCGAGGTGACACAAAAAAGCTCTTCGAAGCCAGTCCTTAGGAAAACATTCGAGTGCATTATGATGAGTCAGACCCGATTTCCATTTAATCACACTCCCGTCAATAATGGATTTCAGATGGCAAAACAGAAACAAATATTGGAATGAGGTCAAACCTTTAGCAACAATCTGTGTCGAACATTAAAAAAAATTAGCACAAGTAATTGGAGAAAGGTCGATTTTAAATCTCAGGCAGTGTGTACATTTCACGCCGATCGGGAAGGGACCTCTGTTTGGTTACGCGCACCTAGTGCACAAAAGTACTATCACGATCCTGTGGACTTGCAGTTGCATGTGGTCATGCAGCATTTATTCATCCTCCGCTGAAGAAAGAGGTGTACAGAACGCCTCTAATCAATGTTTGCGAAATTCACCGTCAGTTCCGGGCTAACCATCTTATTCGTTTTAACGAGTCACCATGAATACACAATGATGGCTGAGAAGAGCGGCGCTTCACGAATGCGAAAATATACGTGCTTATTCTCCCGCTCTACTGCATCAAATTATTCATAAAATCAGCACAGCGCCCACAACTGGATAACTTGCACGTGTGCCTGTCTCCCACCCCTTTGAGAATCTCCACCAATTTAAGTGCTTCTCTGCGCATTACCAAAAAAGTCTTAGAAGACCGGTTACCCAATTACGCAGCTAGATTGGTGCTGCCCTTACTTCAGACCCAACATCACGTAGGCTAAACCTACTATAGTGCCAGAAAAAGAAATGCGCTCACAATTCTCATTTTCTAGGCGACGGACAACAGAATCGTAGTTAGTCGCGCCATCGCGCGCGGCATATCGTGGGGTTGTACGCGGCAAAATCTCGATGTGCATCACTTTGTCGATATGAGCAGCGAAACTCTAGCGAATTCAAGCAAAAGCGAGGCTCTATGACAGACATAATATTTCCCCAACCCCTTGAAAGTCATATCGAAATGGCCAGGCAAGACAACTCGTTTGTCGAGCCGTCGCTCGCCACTCCCACAGGCGCAGCATCTTACACATGTCTGGTCCCATACCTTTAGTTTCTGGAGTATAAGCCGCATGCATTGTACTGTACACTCCCACGGTCGTACATATGCTTTGAGACGCGCACGAACACAGGCAGCAAAAAAGCTGCGGTCGTTTTCGACCTTTTTGCGGCAGAAGCAATAGCATTTGCACCACGATGTCTGGTCTCACACTCTGGTTAGCCAGAGGGCTGTATGAAAATTGGGCTGCAACAGAAGGAAGGCAATACAGGCAAGCTTATTCTTGCAATATACTTACAACGCTGAAAGCGAAAGAACGGCTTACGCCCCCAAAAATTGACTGAGTCACACGTGACTCTAGACATATAGGGATAGAACTTCTAGAAAATTTCAACACAAGAAATAAACGAAGTGAATCATCGAAAATACCAAATGTATTCGAATCACCAACCTTTTGCAGCCATATCGTCTTCAGTGTCACCACCGGCCATACTGAATTTCGGTTTCGGTACATCATAAATTGAATTGTTTTGAGAAGAGGTGTTATCGTTTCCATCTGGCACATTCTTGTCCGACTTGTGCAGAAAACTGGGAAGAATAGTTCGCTTCGGAGGTACTGGTGGCTTGTGCTTATGAGTGTCTATTACTGGAGACTTTTTTTATTTTCTTCGACAAGAATCTGTAAGATGGCCTATTAAGGCGAACAATTACCAAGTAAGAAGAATCTGTGATTAGATGGGAAAATATCCGAACTGTCAAGGAGAAGGGCGCGCTGGCAGATACAGGCTGTTTGTTGTGAAACACATAGAGATGTTACGTATTTCCGCGTGAAGGGGAGTCTTATTGGTCATAGGGGTGTTTGACCTGCCTCTAAGAGAATTTTGTGCAATGGAGGAGAATTTTCTGGCGCCGGATTATTGACTTTTCGAAGAGTTTTTTTCCTGTTGGTAGATCAGCTGCTCACCGAGACTTTATTTAGTGGGAGGGTTGGACTGACACCTCTCTCGAGAGGGGGGGGGTATGACCATACCCGCACTAACATACGATGCCGTACCCTGTTTGGCGTGGGACTTTTTGTTCAAAGAATCTTTTTGCTCTGGAAAATAAGTGATATTTGAGTAGTAGCAGTGGCAGTATGAACGATTCAATGTTAATAATAGGTAATACGCCCAAGTAGTACTAAACGTATTGAATGTGCAAAAGGCACGTTTTCACAGGGTAATAAAAATGTGGAAAAAGTACACGTAATATGGCAGTCATGTCAAAATGCGATTCCTCTGACACATCAACAGAGGAGGTGATCGTACAATTGCACACAGTAAACCGGGTCGTTGACCGCACTATTGATGAGATTCTAATTAGATCGATCCAAGCACAGATTACCGCGAATACCGCTATTGTACACCTTCATTCCTGGCCCATGCGCAAAGCCCAAACTTAGTAATAAGGTGGAAGATTATGACTGCATGAAGAACGCGACCAAACGATCCATACAAAACTCAGCACGGCTAATCAATGGGAGGTCGTTGTGCAGCCAAAAGAGCAGATAATCCCTGTCATGTCGTGTAGCAAAAAGAGGGAACACGAAGAAATGTTGGCGCGATTGTCGGCGAGGGAACAAAGCGAATAAGAGGCGTCCGATCGGCTAGTGAATGCTCCATGAAAAGGGGGCGCCGCGCGACTCGCTCTCACCGTTTTGGCCCCTATCGGAGCCGCCCTGTTGTTCGTTGCGAAAAGTACGACCCATAACCGATCGCAATTTATTGGAAGGAGCGCAATTATTTGATGGTCAGGCGAAGAGGCCGCTAGTTGGAGATAAAGTCGACGCAACCGTTGGTCGTTTGTTTGCATAACCCCGAAAGAACAGCTCGCAGCCACACTGTCAATACGGACAATACGAACCGACACATTGCGCTATTTACCAGTTGCGCATTCAATCACACCCCCATATGTGGGAAGCCATATGGAAAGAAAAAGTTCTGCGTAACTATTCAGCAGTGACCCGAAAGAATGTGAGGATAATTTGAGCCAACTAAGAATCGTGCTAAGGAAAGTCGCTGAAGGTGAGATATTCTGATCAATAGAAGATCGTAAACACACAAACAATCTGGGGAGAGATGATCGTAATGCAGAAAACATTAAAGACGCACACAGACAACTGGCTAGCAACGCAATATCGCACCCACACCGTGCCTAGCCCAAGTATTCACTATCAAAACTAACCCAAGTCTACTCGCACCAGGGCACGTCCTCCTCATAGGAAAAAAATTTTGCTAAATACGACCCCTCGACAATTCCTCATTTCTATGCTCCTCTGGTCGACTCTTTTCTCCTTTCCCCAGCCTGATTTCTCTAACCTTCCTACCAATTTTCCCAAATTCTCCAGTTTTCTCTGAAGAAACTGCCTTCGAGGGGGGATGCATAGCACACATGAAACAGGAAAACTAAGAAACTAGCGAATAACCAAAAATTTCTCTTCAAGGCAATTACGACCTCTCCTCCCACTCCAGCGACCAAATACGACCCCCTCCCCCGTTAGAAATCCCCAGCGCACGACGTGTTCTAACTCGTGAATCTCTTCTAGTCAGAACTAGAGAGCAGGATAATATATTACTCTAATTCGAACGAGTTCTGCAAATAATGAATGTACAATTTTTGTAGTGTTTTATTTTTGCCGCGAGGCTGTTCATGGCGTTCCTCATGTGATCCGAATTTCGACGATTCCTACTACGTTTTCAAGAACCTGACATGGTCCAAAGCTTAAAAGGCAAAACCCGCGATCGCGTGCTATGGACAGCGGCGTTCAGTTATAAACCTACAGTCGCTAAGTGACTTTCCAGGCACAAAAAGAGCAAAAAAATCATGGATAACACTCACAGAGGAGACACCTGACAGCCTCTCTGGACGAGTTCTCCAGATCTGCTCGATCCAGCACAGCGATATCCTGCTGCCTCTGGCACTAATGATTTCTTCGCAAGACCACCTAATAGTGGGGGGAAAAACAAAAAACAGCTGTAGATCTGAACACGCGATCGAAAATAGCCTTCGAATTTTGGTGGGTGGGGAAAACTAGGAAGGCGCCAGAACTGCCACTTATAAGGGCAGCAGCGCCTTTGCTACTCACGGTGGAATCAAGGGACGATATTAGAGACTGCAGAGCATGTTCTTGAATAATAAAGAACGCCTACGAATCTGTTCAGCGCGCGGACTGTATTTAAGCCGGGCTCATACTTTGCGATGAGGGCCAGTGGAGTTTTAAGAATCGCCCTTGCGACCAATCGTGTTCCATCTCTAATCGTTGAATCGCCATAATTGCTCATTCATTCACACTCAGCATGAGACATTTTCGACCGCTGTAGTGGTCCAGCGATTAGCAGAGCCCTTTCGGTAGCAGTCACGCGATCCCCCAATTGTGCCACTAAGTCGCGCGAGTTCAGAGGTAACAATGACCCTTTTAGATGGATTCTCACTATTTCTTCAAAGGCGTCTTCCCTTCTAGCGACTCGAGCTCTACCTCGAAAAAGAAGTACACTCTAGTTCGCTGCGGACGGTTGGGCGTGTCAGGTAGTATGAGTGTGTCACCCTTCAGAAGCCGTTCTCTGCCTTCTTGTTGAAGCGCGCATGCGAATGGTAGAAAACGAGTAATACGAACGATATGATACAGTCATATCATTTGCTCGCTTTAACAACTGGTGGAGAACGGGTTTGGCACCGCGCCAAACTCATCCCGCCTGACACGCCCAACCGTCCGCAGCGAACTTCACTATACATTAGATTGGATGGTGAGCTTACTTTAGGCTCTGCATCTCGACCACACATAGGGACAAAGGGACTGATTAAAAGTCAGGGTCATGATCTAACAGTGAATCCAAATGTAACATAACTAGATCAAAGCTGTTGAAATAATGAAGTTTTCGCCGTTGACCAATCCCTTTTTTGCTATGCGGCAGGTATTCTATTATACTTCCATTGAGAATCTTACTGGCTCATTGAATGCGATGGGCCTATGCAATTAGATATCGGGCCAGCCGGTATAGAAGTCAGTCTTCTCATGCTCAGAAACGAATCAGTACCGATTTACCGTCTCGGGGTGGCAGAAGACTTGTGGCCTGGGCGGAACCGTGTCGTGATTTGAACTCAGACCGCGCGCGCGGTAAGCGTGTACCTTGCCACTGCACTGCCTTCTCCCAATCAAAATCAGAGCCAAAATAAAAAAAATCAGAGCTATTAGGACGTAGAAAAATGACTAATCATATCGTATAATGAGTGACGCAATGCGAATAAGTGATGAGCGCTGGTCGAACTGTAGCAAGATTTTCAAGGTTTAACGGCATAAGAAGCAGCTTAGCGTCTTCGGATTTGTCTAGCGACATATCGAAGAAAGACATCATGTCAATATGAAGTTCTGACCACTAAAGAATGCTCCCACTTGATGTCGTGAATAAAGCTTGAACTCTGAGATCCTGAGGTCTTGGGCCGCAAGAGATCCAAACCGTAAGTATTTTCTATTTGTTATTGTTTCTCCTCCTGCATATGAACCTGACAAGAGAAACCAATAGAAAACTCATACACACTGAAGCGTTGCCAGACTAGAATTAAAAATTCTTCGCACATTTAAAGAATCTCTGCAATGACCGTCACGACAAAAGGCAGCCGTCTGCCAACAAGAAGTGGTTGTGAGCATGACTTACTATCGGTCGCGTACATCAAGAAATGCCAAGATTTCAAGATAAAACATGGTCAACATGGCGTCGAGAAGTGTGTGGTGTCCAGAGTTGCAAAATAATAGACTGATAAACAGAGGTATTCATGAATGCAAGCATTATCAGCGACAATACGCCAGTCTTATGATTCATTTGCATATGTATAGCCATGGTATAAAACCACCAGCCGGCAACGTCGAAAGGGCACTCCGCAGTGACATGTCAAGCATGACCTCTACGCCGATTGCTTATTCATGTACACAACGCTTATAATTTCTCTGCGGACATGATCCGAGGCCTAGCGTGTTCGCCATGGAATT